TTGGCCCAGGATCGGACATTGTTTCGTTCTGCTGTGCATGGGGTCGCTGTGAGTCGGTTCCGACTCGATGGCACCTGACAACAACAACAGCAACATTTCAAATTTTAGAAAATGATGCTTTTGATTCAGTAGGTTCTTTTGGTTTGTTTGTTTGTTTGTTTGTTAATAAGAGATATTTTTTTACAAGGCAGATTAAATTAAATTTCTCCTTCCAGACTCTCCCCCAGTACATATAGAACCCAGCCCCTGACTTTCACGTTTCTGGTTGTACCCTTTAGCATTGTCATTTCCTATTAGAAAACTCATCGACTAGCTCATTTCTGTGCATCAAATGACTTAAGTGCAATTTATTTGACAGTAGATGGTTATAAAAATAGATGACCCACTTCAAGATAAATCAGACTTGTGTAATTTAAGACATATATTTGGCCCTCATAAATGCATGATACAGGACTCTAGTCTTGCGTGGCCATTTTTTATAATAATCATTTTGTAGCCTTCAACTGTGTGACAGTAGGATTTTGTTGACCACCTTTACTTACATAGGCCTGTATTTCAATTCAATAGATGATGGTGCCCAGTTGGACTTTGGTGCCCTGTGTGACAACGATGACACAGCCATGGCTGCATTCATGAATTACTTTGAAGCAGAAGGCGGTCTGGGAGACCCTGCGGACTTCAGTGACATCCAATGGACACTTTAGAATTTGATTTTTAACTCCAGAAATAACATTTTAAAACACTTCATTTATAAGAAACTGTATATTCTTAAGTACTGTCTTGATAACTATTTTTATGTTTTATTTCTATTAATGTTCTACTAAATCTTATAGATTTGTACCTTACTCTTATAGGTATATGAGGAAATATGTTCTCCTCCCAATAGAACATCTCAGCGTTTACTACAGACCCCTTTGCTCACTGATATGGCTCAAAACCCACTAGTGACTATATTTTTGCTAAAATAGTTTTAACCAAGATTATTGGAATCGACTCGACGGCACTTAACAACAACATCACATACATATGATTTGGGTTTTATTTTTATTTTTTGATGCAGTTTTTTAATTTGGGAGATTTAATATATTGATGTAGAGACCTGGTGTGGTACTGTAGCGTAAGCACTGGACTGTTAACCACAAGATCGGCAGTTCAAACCCACCACTTGCTCCTCGGAAATCCTATACAAGGTTGCTATGAGTTGAAACTGGCTCAACGGCACTTAACAGCAACAACAATATACTGGCAATTTCCTTGTTTCTAAGATTCACCTTGGAGTCCTGGTGTGGTGCTGTAGGATAAGCATTAGACTGCTAACCACAAGATTGATGGTTCAAGCCTATCAGATGCTTGATGCAAACCATATCTATAAAGGGTTGCTATGAGCCAGAACTGACTCAGTGACTCTTGACAACCAGAAGATTCATTTATAATATGAGCTTCAGAAAGCTCATAGAAAAAATGGAATGAAAAGATAATGGAATTTTTCCGTGAACTTTTGAAGGCACCTTGTAGTTAAACATGCTATTTAGAATATTTCTTCCTCTCATATTTTATTCCTAATTGAGGATAGGGGTTACACACTTTAAGAAAATGATGAGTACTTGGGGCATTTAAAGGGATAGCAAAATTTGTCTTCATAATCACAATGAATACTGTATTCTATCTATGTAGACTTGGGTAAGAACAAAGTCAGTATATTTATACTAGTTGAATAGTTTGATATGGATTTTAAGTAAGATTTTTATTTAAAACTCAAGAAAAAAAAATTGGGTTTCAACTTTGCTTACAGAAAAGAACCATCTTGTGCCCTAAATCTTGGTAATATAAAATTTACTCTTTATGTAACCACTCAAGATTTTCATTATAGATAGGACAGATTTTTGATGCAGAAGAAGGTATATTTAGTGATGGATAAGTTCTAGAGGAAGAAATAGGTCCATGCAGATTAAATGTCTTGTGTAAAGTCAATTATTAAATTATGTATATTTAATATTTAATGCATTTACAAGAATGTGTTTATTCATATTTGAGAAAACAGTGGTCTCTCTGGTTAAATGAGCAACTGACCCAAGAACTAGTTGAGACCTCCTAGATTGTTAGTCAGTTACAGTTGACATCGCATGTGGCCAGAGGTAATGATATAAACAGTGAGTACATTTTTAAAACCAGGAGACAATGAAAAATCATTTAAAAAACCAATTATCTTGCTATAATTAAAAATTTGCAGAACATTTCTCAACCAGTAATTAATTCAAAGGAGGCTCAAATTGAGTGCAAAAATTAAGGATATTTAGAAAATTGTTTGCTTTTTTGAGGGTCATGCTTTTAATAATACCTTTATTTTTTAATTACTTAATGTGTGTTCCCACATTGTGTGCCTCACAAGACAGCGAAGATAGACTGGAAACTAATGGGGAACACCCTGAGGCTCAGACGTGGGTTTACATCCAGGGTTTTCCCCTCTGTATGGTTCTTCACCGTTCCAGCGAATTGCCTTCAGGCCCCTTCCCCACATTGAAGCATTAGGTGACAGATCAGAAGATTCATCCAATGTGTTCATGGCAAATATACCAAAAGGTTGTAACCAAAATGTTCTCTTCAAGCATGAAATCTACAATGGACATAAAGCAAGGGTGTACTGGCACACTGTACTCTTGAGCTAGCACATTATTTCTGGTTCTGATACTTAAAAGGCTTCAAGAAAAACCAGTGTATAAAATAAGCAAAAAAAAAAAAACCACAACTGGAATATGGAATTGGTTTGCAGCAGTCTAAGCATTATGATAAAGTCTACAGAAGCCTTGCAAGGTCATAGCTGTTGTCTGTGTCAAGCAGACAGGTCTGTCCACCACTATAACAATTTAGAAGACTAAATCAGGTTGACCTCCAGAAAGTCTACTCAAGCCAGTCACACGATAGGTCACTGGGGTGAAATGGCCTTAAAAGCAAGCAGAACAAATCTTCCTGATGTAGGCATTTGAGCGGTAGGCTCAAGGTAGGCTACCTTGCACAGAAAGAGTTTTGTTTTTTCTTTGAAAAAGGAGAGTTTTACATAGAGCAATGGGCAGATAGTCAACAAAATGTCCTCTTATAGTTTGATCTTTTATTAACCTACTCCAATATTTTCTATTATTAACCTACTCTAATATTTTCTATATATTCTCTTACCTTAGCCTTAAAATACAGCATCTATGTATTACATAATATGGTGGCCCTCACAAGTGTAGTGTTTTCTTCAAAATACATTCTAACTACAAATATTTGATTTGCTATGAGTCGCCCCCCCTCGATAGCACTTAACAACTATTACAAGTGACATATTTATATAACTTCTACTATTATTACTTTATTTTTTTTGCCACAAAGAAGTATAATTTTTACTTTATTTTCTTGCAGGTTAGTTTTACTTCAGCCTTTTAAGGGCTCAATTCTTTACATGGGCTTTGGTGGCGGTCGGTCGTGGGGCAGCACCTGCAGGTCTAAATTGGAGTGGGGGTATTCGGTCCTTCTGAGCTTCATAGGAACAGTTCCTGACCACCTTGCTGTGAATGGTACAGCTCACACAGTAATGTAGCTTCACATACAGCTTGGGAAGCACGTGTGCATCGAAGACACTCACTTCAGAAATATCCCTGACAGCTGCGGCCTTTACTATGTTTCAAATTACGAACTTCTTAACGGCGGCCCTGCAGCAGGCGCGGTTCGTGCAGTGATTAGGCTGCATGTAGCTGCGGCCCTTTTTGGCATGACTGTTGTTTCTCCTTTTCTTTGTCATCTTGGAAGCGAGGACCAGAGAGAGAGAGAGAGAGACTATTAATACTTTTTCATCTACAAATTAACTTCATACATTTTGGTAAGAAATAATAATCTATAATTTGAATGAGAGGATTATAAGAAAAGTAAACTTTTTTTTTTAATCCTTAAAATTATTGCTACTATGATGTTGTAGGTACTGGTAAATTGGTTTTAGTGTCACAGTGACCTTATGTATCACAGAACAATGCATTGCCTGGTCCTATGCCATCCTTGGAGTCCTGGTTGGTGCTGTGGGGTACTGTGCTAGACTGCAAGGTTGGTTTGAACCACAAAGTCAGTGTTTCAAACTCACCAGCTGCTCCTCGGAAACCTTATACAGGGTCATTATAAGTCAGAACCGACTTGACGGCACTTAACAACAACAATGCCATCCTCACAATAGTAGGTACACTGAGCCCATTGTGGCAGCCATTGTGTCGTCCCATCTTGGTGAGGGCCTTCCTGGATTTCATGATGCCCTCTAGGTATTGGGTCCCTCCTTGATAACAGGTCTAAAATAAGCAAGTTCAAGGCATACCATCCTCACTTCTAAGGAGCGTTCTAACTGCACTTTCAGGACAGACTTGTTTTTCTGGCATTCCATGGTACAGTCAACACCATAATTCAAATCCTTCTTCTGTCTTCCTTTTTCATTTTCTAGCTTTCGCATGGCAATTGGAGATACCGTGGGTTGGGTCAGATGGACCATGGTCATTTTTGTTTCTTCTGGGTTTTTTTGTAGCAGATCTGTCCAATATAATACACCACTTGATTTCTTGACTGCTGTTTCCATGGGCATTGATTGTTGATCCCTGTAGTGGAGAAGAATAAAAGCTCAGACTCAGAAAACCTTGTTTGGCTTACATTTAGCTATCTGTGATCTCAAGCAAGCCAGTTTAGTCACCATGCCTCAGTTTCTTCATTTATAAAAGTTTATTATCTCTAGTTGACCTCCCGCTCTGATTCTGTAATTCTAGTTCATAGAACTTCAGAAAGAGGGTAGACTCTCACACTGCACTGTGAGTAAGATAGCAGTGGTCACAGCTGGCTGTTGAGCATTTGAAATGTCACTAGTACAAATCGAGATGCAGTGTAAATGTGTGATGCAATGTGGACTTCGGTGACAGTATAAAAAAAGAATGTGACATACCACATTCTCAATTTTATACTGGTTGAAATGATAATATTTTAGGTATACTACATGAAATTAGAGTCCTGGTGTGGTACTATAGGATAAGTACTGGACTGTTAACCACAAGGTCAGCAGTTCAAACCCACTAGCTACTACTCGGAAGTCCTATACAGGATCGCTTTGAGTCAGAACCGACTTGATGGTACATAACAACAATAGATCAAATAAAACAAAAATGAACTTCACATGTTTCTTTTGGGCCTTTTTAATGCGTTTACTAGAAATTTTTTAATACATAAGTTGCTGTATATAAGTGCCATCAAGTCAATTTTGACCCATAGAGACCCTGTATAGGGTTTCCAAGGAGTGGCTGGTGAGGTTGAACTGCCGACCTTGCAGTTAAACCAACTTTGCAGTCTAGCACATTAGCCCATAGCACCACACCAAGGATTCATGTCAATTTTATGTACAGAGCTGTTCTACATTTTAATTAATAGTATTAAAGTACACCAAAGGATTATGCCATAAATATGGTATTTACCTCCAGATAATATTGTTTAAAGGAATATTTATTGATCCTTGACTCTGTGAAACTGTAAACCTCTACTCTTGTACCAAATTTAAAACTTTTTCATTTCTGAAGTTAGTAATGCTTGAAATAGTATGCCAAAATTAGGTAAAATTTAAGATATATATTGACCCCCTATGGTAAACACTGTGTCCTGATGTGGTGCTGTAGAATAAGCACTGGACTGCTAACCATCAGGTTGGCAG